AACATAGATTTGTCTGTTTCAAATGTCACTGCCCTTTTACTTCCATGCCTCTTTTCCTTCGGCTTAAATACAGCCAATAGATTGCACTAGAGGGCAGTGTCACAAGTTTCACACAACAAATGAGGAGGTCATACCTTTGAATGGAGCGTCCTCTCCCGCCTACCGCTCCATTAGGTCCCAGGGAAGCTGAGCCTCCCTGGAATGACGATTTTGTCGCATTTATCCAATGACCGTCTCACTTTGGTGCATAAAAAAACCTGCCCAGAGCTGTCTCATAGGAATGCTTGGAGGCTCCGCGTCCACCGTGATGACACGAGAATGTATGACAGGGAGGTCGCGTTTAAAAACTGGTGATAAACAGCTGAAGTTTGAACATCATAGTCATGATGTTAAACTCATCCTAGCGCACGTTTAATGCAATGTAAATTCTTATTTTAATGTAAATTCAATAGTGCATATTTGACCATTTCTTCTATGAAATTTTAGGGGAAATTCAGCCTCCCTTGTTGTCTGAGAGCAATCGCCCCTGCTGTATAGGTATCTAACACTGAGCATAAATGAGCCCTGACAAACACTAGAGAACAGAGAGTGTTGATATTTATATGGTGAAAAAATAACTTTCTCAGCACTTGCATGCTTTGTGTAACAGTGATAACTACCCAAAACAGGCCAAACTTGACAGAGTAAAATGTAATAATAATATCAATAATAATAATAATAATAATAATAATGATAATGATAATAGTTGAGAATCTCCTCACAACATGACATCAGTAGATGAACACCATGTATTCACACTGGTATCTGTACATGTATTTATCTTAAGCTGCATTTACATTATCAATAGCAAAGTATTCATCGCTCCCACACTGCTCTAACACTTCAAATGAATCACCTTATGTTGCAATCCCTGCAATGTCAACCACCTACATTTGCACTACCATCATAAGCAAATGTATTGCAGTAACAGCACTCTAGTCATGTGACCCATTATACAATAGTTTACCTTTATCACAATTTACAGAACTGATCATACGAGTTATGAAAACCTTGCTATTGTTGCCTCTGTGCACCAGTCAAGTTCCTCTTACAGTTTACATCTATATCTGTGAAAACATGCTTCACACACATCTTCCCCTTGGCAGCACAGAGGATCTATACAATCAGCACAGTTTCAAGATCGACACCCAGATTAGTGTCACCAACTCTGTATCCGACCATATGTTTGCCCCTCTGTTCCTGAGATATGACATTGAATAATGAACAGAAAGTTATGACCTTTTGAATATAAAATGTCATCACTTCATCATTTTATTCCACTAAATATTTGTGGGAAATTTTGTCATTATCAGTGCATGTGTTCTTGAGTTATAGACAAAAAACATGTTTTGTGAGGTCACAGTGACCTTGACCTTTGGCCTTTGACCACCAAATTTTAGTCATTCTTGAGATCAAGTAGACGTTGGTGCCAATTTTGAAGAAACTCCCTCAAAGCCTTCTTAAGATATTGCGTTCCTGAGAATGAGATAGACTCAAAGTCACAATGACCTTGACCTTTGACTGTCAACCACCAAATTCTAATCATTCTTTAGTTCAAGTGGATGTTGGTGCCAATTTTGAAGAAACTCCCTCAAGGCCTTCTTAAGATATTGCATTCCTGAGAATGGGATGGACTCAAAGTCACAGTGACCTTGACCTTTGACCACCAAAATCTAACCAGTGTATTGTTGAATACAAATTTTGTGCCAAAAATTCTCAAGGTTTTCTTAAGACATTGCACTCACAAGAATGAGGATCACAGTGACCAAAACCTAATTAGTTCATCACCGGATCCAAGTGAACATTTGTGCCAAATTTGAAGAAACTCCATTCTTAGCATATGGCGTTAACAAGAATGGGACAGATGGATACGTATGGACGGATGGACGGACAACCTGAAGACATAATGCGCCAGCTGTGGCTATCACTGGCATAATAAAGCCAAGTTGTAGCAAACTACACTTTTCCTTCAACACTGAAACATTAAAGAATCTGATTATTAAATTAAAGACATGCTGTTATTGGATGGTGATTAATTTAATATCAAGCTTGCAGAAATGTTCTGTTTGAAAAGTCAAATAGGGAGTTCTGAAAAGTCTGAAAACTGCCTCTGGCTTTGGGGAAATTAAAAAGAAAATCCATGAAGTCAAAGTGTGCACTCCTCACAAAATGAGGATGGAAAACTACTAGCCCTCTGCACAACTCAGAGCTGAGCATCATACAGATTTAAAAGTGTTTTACAACTATATCAAAGCTGTTAACTTTGTACTACAGCTCATCATGACCCTGCAAACGTCCTGTGTGAAATACATCTGTTTCATTGCTAGTTAAAATGCCATGGCAACTATTAAACCCCATTGTCTGACAATCACTATTCTTTTCACATCAGGTTTCTTCTCTCCTAAAAACAATGTTGAGTGGAGGACACCTAAGAGGACACATCTCTGAGCAGTGTGTCCTCATCTAATGGAAGGAGTTCAGTTTCTAACATGTCAGAGTACACCAAGTGCTTTATCACTTTAAATAGCAGAGTGCTTCGGATCAGAGTGAAAGTAGGCATTTTAAACGATTTGTTCTGTATAAGAGGAAGGTAGAGTTTTTCTTTGAAAGGAAAAGATTTTCCCATTTCTGTGGAAACTGGTTTTGTAAACAGGTCTAGGTATAGGCACACTGTGTGCACATGTCAAAAGTCTTCATAATGCTTGCTTGTAGCTATAGGATCACTACGGCCCTGTTTAGACGACAATGGTTTCTCTAAAAATGGAAAAGTCTGTCCTTTGCATTTTAGAAAACTTATGATGACGTTATTGAAACGATCTCCGTTCACACCGAGCCGCAAAATCGAGTAACGTAAAGCTGCAGTACCGGAGGCTGCAGTTTCAGGACCGCAGTTTTAGGACCGTTTAATTTTCCGAGTGGAGGCTGAAGTTTATTTTTATTTTTTTGCTATACCCACATACTACTTTCTTATTAAATAGTTATAATCAGTGTTGGGCAGTAACGTGTAATTTGATGGATGAAGCGTAGGTAACTATACATTACCATTGCCGGTCCTCTCCACTCCTCTCACCCACACCTAAACACCCATTCTGGGATATACACAGTGTCGGCCCGCCCGGCCTGAGCTCCGCGGTCCTCTCCACTCCTCTCACCCACACTTAAGCATCTGTCCAGGGAGGGCCGCGGAGGTCAGGCCAGACGGGCCAACACTGTGTGTCCCAGAACGGGTGCTCAAGTGTGGGTGAGAAGAGCGGAGAGGACCGTGGAGGTCAGGCCTCACAGAGTTTCTTTGACCTCTCACCTCTAAATATATCTGAATGAAAATGGGTTCTGTAGGTACCCATGAGTCTCCTCTTTCCAGACATGTCCACTTTATGATTAGACTCACAAGTCAGTCTTTAGATGCTTTACGTAACTAAAGACTGATGACTTTCTCCCTGATTTTGTGTTTAGATGGGCGGATACAATTTCAGAGTTTAAAAAAACTCCCTACGTTGCAGAACCAATAGTAAATCCACAGGGTTACAAACATACATGCAGGTACATGCACTTTTTTGCATGCAACGTTTATTACAGATTTATGAATAGAAAATCTTGACACACAGTGCAGAGCTGCATCTCAAATTAATCTTCTGGTTTTCCAGCTTTCAGGTGATGTATGCCACTTCTGTGTGGCATATATTGTTGACCAGCTATCTCCCCCAAAAGCCCCCCCCCCCCCGAAAAAAAGATTTTCTTCACGGATGAGCACATGTTTGATAAAACAGAGTTTAATCTCTCGGCATCCATTTTCAAGCTCTCTGTGTGTTTGTTTCCTTGTGGACGAGAAAAGGGGGAGCGCACATTTCCGAGAAGGCGTGTCCTTTTCAAAAATGCAACAGGCGTTGCTTTGTTGCCGGCCGTTTTCGCCGGTGTGTTAAACACACTTTAGAAAGGAGTGTCCCCAGACTATCAGAACGCGGAGATCTGTGATTGTCTGGTGGCGGGACTACAAANCCCCCCCCCCCCCCCGAAAAAAAGACAAAAATGGGTCTACAGTACATGGGTCTCAGAAGGTTGATTGCGTACTGCTACTTTGTCTCTTCGACCACACTGTTGTAGCAGTGCAGCACTGATTCAAAAAAATAAACCCAAACGTCAAGATCATAAATTAATTTTTTTTGCATTTATTTGATTCACAGTTAAAACATTCTGGTAAGAATTGATTCACCTTGACTTTACAATTGTTTTGAAGGGTAAAATAATGTAATTTTAAACCTGCATTTTAAAAAGTGTGATTAATCGTGATTAGCTATTGAAATACAGCGATTTGCAATTAAAAAAAAAAAAAAAAAAGTTTGACAGCATATGTATACATGTTCAGTATTGGACATGAGTCAGTTTTCCAGGAGCACCACAAAAACAAATGTGTCTTGAGTTCCTTTGAATGTCCTGGGATCATTAACCTCATCTGGACTTTTCATGCAGGCACCTATTTACTATTCTGCATTAACAGGTTGGATTTATTAGTGAATTAGGTGAATTATTCCTTTTTTGTTTTGCAGTGCTGTAGCTGAGTTTTTCTTTCTGTCTGTGGTTTAATACAGTCCCCTGATAAAAAATGAAGTGTGGATGACTGACTGATATAACGGGTATGTAAGTGAGGGTGGGTGAGGAGGATAGAGAATTTACATGTCTATGCTTTGAAGGCTTGAGAGGCATAAAATAAGCAAAAATTTGCAATGTTCATGTGTATTTGAATTATTTCAACAATGTAGCAAAACAGATAGCAACAATATGACAAGTGTTTTGGCTAAAAGGGTAATGAAATCTCTGAATGTATTTGCAAGCTCTAAATGGACTAATACACACACACACACACGCATGCACGCACGCACGCACGCACGCACGCACGCACGCACACACACACACACACGCACACACGCACACATGCGCGCGTGCGCGCGTGCACACACACTTACCATCAAACTCAGCAGGGCCCACTCCCACTATGATGATAGACATGGGCAGGGAGGCTGCCTGTGGAGACAGCACAGAAGGGGTGAAAGCCAGGCTACTGTTCCCCCACTCAAAAATACAAACTGTGCATATCATGCTTGAACGTACAGCATGTACACATGCCTGAGTATACCTGGCTGCAGTGAGAATAAAATGCTTTCAGACCATTTTCATGTCTTTACACTGTTCTTTGTTCAGAGCGGCCCATACACCAGAAGAAAATGTTAGAATTGTACGTTTCTGCAAACCACTAATATGTTACATTTGTGTATCATACAGTATCATATCAGCATTTCTAAAGTGTATATGACTTTGCTGACATTGTCATCAGGAGGTGGAGGGGATGGGGGATGGCATATCACCCAGCTGAGACACCTGTCAAGCTGCAGACCACTCAACAGAACCAGTTGTGATTCATTGAGGCATTGCTGTATGTCTAGTGGCTTTCTGGGGACCAAACATGAGTGCTCTGTAGTAACCAGACAAAGAATAATAATTTACATACTTCAGTAAATAATGAGTAAATATAAATCAACATTCTAGTACTAGCACTGCACAGTACCTAAATACATTTGTCTAATGTATGGGCTTGCCAGCCATTTGAAGAAAAACAGACACAATGTGAACCAACTATGTGATTACAAAGTAAGGCATTCATCTGAAGTGACTACTGTCAACATTTAGCAGCCTGATAGCAGAAGGAATAGAGGACTTAAAATAGCAATTTGTTTTCCTACGGGGCACTTTGTAACACCGGCCGGAGGGCATTAAGGTGAATCAGTAGACACGACGTGATTAGATTTGCAAATAATGGGCATGAAACACAGTAATGTTGACACAGAAAGTTTCAATGTATCTGCTACATAATAATGTGCAAATGTAACATATGAATGGTTTGCAGAAACAATGCTAACCTTTTTCTGACAATTGGATGGACGTGACTGCACTGGTCTGCTTTCACACTGGCTGTTCCTTGTTGTTCTGGTTGGATTCTGTTGTTCTGCTTTTGTTTTCCTTTCATTAACAAAATGCATAATTTACCGCCATTGTGACATTTGGAGGAAATATGCAGAATCATGTTTAAGTGGGCACAACCATGACTTACCAAAGCATGGCCACCCATACAGGCCACAAAGACATAAAAAATAGGCTCACCTTTCCACGAACCTCTAAGAACAAAATAATGTGGCATCCAAGCAGCAAACTCAGAGGCACATAAGTGCCAAAAAGTGCAGTTCTTTGACTGGTCACCTAAGGTTGGCTCCAGAAGCCAGTCAGTCCCCATAGATCCCCATGTTATAATGCCCAACTTTACAGCAGAAATAAACATTTTACAGCCTGGTACAAAAAAAGTGTTTTGGTCTTTATAGTAAATAAAAACAACCCCCCCCCCCCCCCCCCCCCCCCCCCCCCCCATTTACATTTTATTAAGGCTTAAAGTTACACATAATTAAGGGTGGGCAGCTTTGAGTGACAGACTGTCCACCCACCCCAGATCCACCCCTCACTCCTCCACAGCACCACCCTCTCGCTAAAATATGGTCACTTCTGGCTCCAAAACACCAAGATGGTGATGACCAATGTACAAAACTCGAGGCTTTAAAATGGGGGTCCACAAACCAATGGGTGACATCACAGTAGCTACCTTCATCATTTTTACCGTCTACAGTGGCATCAACATGGGCTTGAATGTTAAAGTGCTTTCACATCTAACTTGTTTGGTTAAAACAAACTGAGGTTTGTTTGTCCATTAGCCCATATGATATCTACCACCAGTGTTCTCGCAGGACCAGATATAAGAAAGAGGAAAGGTTTGGATTTTAGAAACTTTAAAGCCCAAAAATTTAATATTGCATCTTTGTATGTAACTTACCATACACCAGATGTCATATCCAAATTAAGTCATACATAAATCTGTGGTTGACTGTTCTGATATTGTATAAGCCCCAAGCTGGTGAAATGGTAAAAATGTTACCAAGTGCATCTTTGATTCTATCTCAGATTGTCTGTTTTTTCCTCTTCAGTTAGAATTTAACTTCCCTGACTGGATGTTGTTTAGAGCTGAATGATATATGACAACTTGTGTTTATGTGAAATCCATCCACGTGGTGTCCTTCAATGTAGTTGTGTTTTGTGTGCAGTGCTGTGTTCACTCACGTTGACCACAGCCTCTTTGGTCTGAGCCATGTCTGAGATGACGCCGTCTGTGATCATCAGCAGTACAAAGTACTGGGAGCCATCAGTCACTTCTGCAGCACACCTACCATCATAAAAACACACACACACACACACACACACACACACACACACACACACACAGAGGTAAGTTTGTGTGTAGACATAAAGTTCAGAGTAACATTTCTGATGTGGTTACAAAAAACACTGGCAGCAAAATCATTTTTGTTTGGTTGATGCATTTCATTTTGTGCTCCATGTGTTCAACCTCTTTTTTCCCAGTGCACTTTAAGTTATCAGAGGAAGCAACCTCTGCCAGCCCCACCCTAATCTTGCTGAGTTTCCTATAATCAGATAGCCAAAAGTAACTGAATTTGCAACATTTTTGTTTTATGATAAATCATGGCAATATTCAGAAACTGCAAAGCCAGTGGAAATAATCACAGTAAAGAAATGTGAGTTAAAGGGGAACACCACATAAATTAATTATTATAATATGTTGTTTCAAAGGCAAGAAATGTCAATTAACATTTGTGAACATAAGCTACTCTATTTCAGAGCCAGAAACCTGAGAAGTAAGTCTCAAACTTGTAATATCATCAAATAGAGTCTGGAGCTACTTCATAGACAATGAATGGTGATGACTGATTTTGTGGACCAACAGAATTTTTGTTTTCTTTTTCAAACCTTTTTCCTTGTTTGACTCATTATCAATGCCCTATGTTCCCAGGGTCATATATTCCCAGGGTCCTAAGGGTCCTAAAGCTCTATGTTTGCAGCATATTATGTTTTTTCACTTCAGTATTCTGTTAACAGACATTAACCCTCCTACTGTGTTTGGGTTAAATTTGATCCATTTCACAAGAGTATTTCATAAATATAATTCAGTTAAATCTAACCCTAAGCCTAGTTCATGTTGTATGAAGTGAATACAGAGCTGGGTTTTAAGGTCCCCCTATGTGCAATATAGACCTGGGAAACATAGAACCCAAGGAACAAATGAATGACCCCATTTGGATCATGTAAAGGTTCAGAAGATGTTACCTGCTGATTTACACAAAATCAAATGGGCTCCACACCATTCATTTGAGCATTTGAACAGAATGTACATCATGCTCTGAAGGTACAACCATCAGATAGAAAGACGATTTTCTGCAGGTTGGTCAGTGTGTGGACTGGATTTAAATATTCAGCTGATGCACACTAAAGAGCAAATGCTGAGGTCTTGCCAACACAGGCTTCTCATAATACTGTGAAATAAAACAGTGTTGTATAATACAGTATTTTTGTTGTACACTGGCTGGTGTGTGTGTGTGTGTGTGTGTGTGTAAATGTTGCTGGTAGTGTGTGTATGTGCGCCCGTGTGTGTGTGTGTGTGTGTGTGTGTGTTGCTGGTAATGCTAGGATCCCAGCAGGGTAAAGGAAGACCTGCTGTCTGACTCACTGTTTGATTGGCTCACACTCTCAGTCTGGCCTGAGGCTGAGAGCAGGCAAAATGGCAAACTGTCTCTCTCTTCCTGTCTGCTGGATTCCTCTCTGTCTGTCCTTCTGCCTGTCTCAACATCCCTTCCTCATGTTTTCTGTTTTCCTGCCTCTCTCATTACACACCTCCTCTTACATCCCTGATCTATCTCGCTTTCTGTCTCTATAGAATAATAGGAAAGTGTATCAACAGGTGAAACAGGAACAAATTGCGTTGTCAGTAATCCTTTAGAAGCCATTGCCTTTGTCTGTTTTGCATCCTATCTCTTAATGGGAGTGGAAGATGTAAGTGAAGAGGAAACGCATGCCAAACACCATTTTGAGACCAAACACAACAAAACTTTCAAGGATGAGACAGGCGAGGTTGAATCAGCAAAGGTGCTGTGTCCAGGTATAGGAAGCAAGCAAACACCCTCAAAGTCTTCACTAGCACTAAAAATCACCCTACTAAAGCAAGCTATCACACTGCTAATTGCATTGCAAAACATGGAAAGCCATTTACTGATGGTACTTCAGACACTTTAGGGAGCTGTCCATGCTGCACAGCATCAGCACCACGGAAATGTACAACTACAAATGGATTTTGGGAATATCAGAAGTACGGACCCATATTCTCCTTCTCGATCAATCCCAAGAGTTTTGATTGACATGAACTGGATTTATCTCTTTCTTATCCTTATTCATCACGGTAATGCAGCTGATTGAGCTCAAGAGTTAAACACTGTGGATGACAAAGTTTGCACAGCTACGGATGCAAGTGGAAAACACAGTTGTGCATGATCATGAACTTGCAGCTTCACCCGCTGGATATCTCTGTTGAAGGAGTTTAGCTGTCTCAGGAAAACTGCATTGGCTTCACCAACAGTCATATCTCTGTGAGAGGATATTCTCACACATGAAGAGTGTGCTCAGCCCCTCCCACATCAGTCTGACAACTGACCACTCCGAAGCTTGTGTGCAAATTAAAGTGAGTAAGTGTGACCCCCAGATAATGGAGCTCAGCAAGGGAAAGCAGGGCCAGGGATCACAATGACTGGTAGGCATCTTTGCATAATGGAGCATAGCATGATAATGTAGCATAATTTGCCACTTTGTCTCTCTCTCTCTTTACATTTTATCTCAGTTAAAATATAAAAATATATCTCAGTGTTTTTGTAAGGATGGCAGCCGCTTTCTTGAATAGTGTTTATATTTTTATTTGTTACACTTAATTTTCCCTTTTTGTGACACTTGCTGCCCCTGCAACACTTGGTAAATGAGGAAATGTCATTGAAAGCAGTATGCTGAAATCGGAACTGTGCATAAAATTTTCTTTTCGGAACAATTCTTAAGGGCAAAACTGATGACACATTGAGACACACTGATGAAATTACATTCTAACGAGTGAAGGCGAGTTAAAGAAAACAGGGAGAGACTGGAGTATAACTGAAACCATATTTTCAGGCCTAGGAGGTGCTCGATATTTTCAGCATATATATATCTCAAACATGAGATGAATGAAGGCTGTTAGATAAGTGTGGGACAGCTGTTCTGCACATGTACTGTGCTGTGCCCTAACAGATCAGAGGCTGTAACTCAGAGGCCCTCAAATTATTTGGCTTGCATGCTACTTTTGAAATGACCAGATTGACATGATCTATTAACAAATAACTAGAATTGCCACCTTGCGGTTGTATGCCTTGGCAAACCACTCAAGTTGCACTCATAGTTTACATCATTGTCTGTGAAAACATGGATGCTTCTCACACATCTTCCCCCTGACGGCACAGATGATCTATACAATCAGCACAGTTTCAAGATGGTCACCCAAGATGAGAGTCACCAATTCAGTATTTGACCAAATGTCTCCCTTCTGTTCCTGAGATATGGCATAAATAATGGCCAGGAAAGTGTTTTGTAAAACACACACATGTAAGTTGACCTTTTGGATTTAAATGTCATCACTTTGTTATTATATCCTATCAGAAATTTGTGTAAAATTATGGTTTATTACTTAAAACATGAACCTTTCAACCTTTGATTTTCTACCACCAAATTCTAAGTCCACATGAACGTTTGAACTGCCTTTGATGAATCTCCCTAAAAGCCTTCTTGAGATATTGCATTCATGTGACTGAGGTGGATGCAAGGTCACAGTAACCTTGACTTTTGACCAGCAAAATCTGATCAGTGCATCGTAGGGTTGAAGCTGATGTTTGTGCCAAATTTGAAGAAATTCTTCAAAGCATGAGGGACTTGAATATCTCACGATTCCAGATTATTCCATATCATTTTTGCTGGATTGTAATCAAACTGTCAGCTGCACAATGAAAACATCACTGGTAAGTTGTTTCATATCAATATATTATTATCTCTGATGACGTAAGCTTGTCATAGATGCTGACTATCTGACCTTGGTTATTGTATTAATGGCAGGCCATACATTGCTCGCACACTTGTAGTTTGCTGTCATGTGTAATTCATTATGTGTGACTTTGTTGAGTAGGCTTTATGACTGTGTTGGTGTATGGGCATCTAACATCACTGAATGTCAAACTGTGTATTCACTTGTCTTCTGTCTTTGGTTGCCTGCCCCACTAGTCTAGTCTGACTTACATTTTTATCCTTTATCCTACCCAGCCTATCTAAATTAGGCTACTGGTAAAACCCATGGTTCCAAGCATGGTTCTGAAATAGCCTATCAGCAGTTGTGCTGCTTAAATATCACTAGGTCACTGTTTAATGATAAATCCATGGCACTGTCCATGGTGCTGAAATAGCACACTTGATTGTAATCCACATTTCCCTCTGTTCCACTAAGCAGTACGGTTCAGATAAGTTCATTATTTATCAACATATTTATTTTGTTTTATTTTTTAAATTTCCATTGTGAAAAGTTGTGGATTGTAAAAATAGGGCCGTTCCATTCCGCCTTGTTTTTCATCAGCCTTCTGTTGGGGCACCTAGCACACTGATTTGATACAAAAAGGTGGAGTTAGAAGCTCTGCAGTCTGTTGATTGATCAAGAGAGATATCTTACTCAACAAGGACTTAATAACTCAATGCCATTCTTAAACATTCCATCGATTGTGACAGAGGCTCTGAACACTGAAGCCTGTTATTTTTTTGTTCTGAAATGTCAGTGTGCAACCCCGTTATGCAGACGATCAATGAGGTGGAACCTTTCCTCTGCACCAGTGGTGACAATCCTGCCCACCCTCAAGCCAGCTGTCTGTGGTGAGATCACAAAACGGATCTAGGGTTTAGGTACATGTCTGTATGGGTTATGTATGGGTTCTAAGGGTACTATACAGAAAGTGTTTGTTGGAAACGCAGATCCCCTTGGATCTGTCCTGCATCTCCATAGAGCCTATAGACTGTAAAAGGGGCCATTAGAGGTCCTTGTCCCCTCTACAATGAGCCATCAGCTCTGTGCCTACAGTCACACACTGCCAAAGCCGAATCATAAGTTGAGTTTTAGATATTAGGAATAAAGTGAACCTGTGAAAATCTTTACAATGTAGTATCAGTCATTGATGCACAGTTTAATGTTAATGTGTTGCATAGCCCCCATAACAGTAAAACATGAAACAAAAATATTCCACTTCCTGTATGTATTACCGT